ATAATGATATAAAACAAAGAAAATAAGAAAAGCCTTAAATTAAAGAGAGTTAAACAAGACAAAGTTTGCGTCATTAATGACTTCAAAGAATAATTAAGTATTAAAACTGTTAATTACGGAGCCCATATAGTCAGAATAAAGTTATTATTTTATCATCTTAAGGGACTTTATGGGCTCCGTTATAAACTAATGAATTAATGCAATAATTGTTTGAGCAGAACACCACATCACACTACTTCTGGAATCGTACCTGCTCCCCATGAAGGCTGCTGGGAGTGTTTACACAGTGACATGCAGGGCTGAGCTGTGTTCAGCCTCTGTAATACAAATAGGCAGATGCCAAGCATCTGAATGGACTGACAAGTCAATGTAGTGTAGGCTTCCATGCACCTTCCATAATCAGACCTCTGGCTCATTTCATCCTGTCAAACACTACCCGGCTGCCCTCTGTAAAACACCCTATTTTCACCCTTCAAAAAATAACATTACATCACTCGGCTAGTCATTTTTATAAATGGAGGATCCCCTAGGCTTGAAACCTTACACTACACAAACACGGGCCACAAGAAAGCCAGCCTTTTGTTGAGGTTGAGAGGAAAAAAATTAAACAGGGAGTCGGAGCAGCACATTTACTGAGCAGCTCAGTCAAGGAGTGGTTTTGTTTGACACTGCCAGAGATTTATGATGTTGGTGAAGTGTTTACAGAGGTCAAGGCGGCTCATTTTCCAAATCAGTTTGTCAAGCATTTGCTTATCTAAAGAGGCTTTTCATCAATCATAAGAACTGATGGTGAAGAGAAAAAAGTCCACCTTTCCAAATATCAGTATTCTTACACAAATAGATTACATAGAGGGAAAACTTGGATTAAGTCATGTCGAATAATTTCATATCTCAGCCTCTTAACTTATATTCAGATAGTGGATAAGATTTCACAGGCTAAAAGCAGCGGAGTCAAACTGTTGGATATATTTTGGGAAGGTTTCTGTGAGAACCTCTCCAGACGAAACCTGCTGTTCTCACCTTTGGACACATCGACTGCAGTAATTAATATGCTTTATATATTTTATGCTTAGTCTCCTCTTAGGAATGTACTACACACACACACACACACACACACAATCATGCAGTGTCTGAAAAACATTACTCCTTTGAACTAAAAAAGACAACCCAAATATGCCTGGAATGAAACCGGCTGAAGACGAAGCCGATGTCTGTCAAAAAAAAAAAAAAAAAAAGAGGCACTGGTTTAAATAAAGTGTTCCTTCCTTGTCCTTTCCTCTCGGGTGTTGCTGCACCATTGTGCTTGTTTATACTGCACAATATTTCTGTTGGCCATCCCTCACATCAGCCCAGTAAAAATACACAGAGTAGGTCAGAAGTTCAGGCCCTAGATCAACACTGGCATTGTGTCCTGCAGGTGCTGTCAGCCGCTCCGGGGACAGCCAGCGACGGAAAATATACACAAGCAAACAGCAGCTCTGTGGATACACACTGTCTCTGCGCTCACATGGTGCACAGGACAAAGAAGTTACAGCGGCTCCACTGCAGCTTTGGGGAGAAGCTAAAGCTGTTGGACTCGGCCGGTCGACTTGTAAGCTGAAATATTTAAAGGCGAGAGAGTTCGGCTGCTGGCGCACATGGAGGAGACAGAAAGGTGTTTCAGGTTTGTTGTCTAGGATCATCTTCATTACTGTAACACTGACATAAACACAAACGTTTCACTGTCTGTCAAAACCTCAACGTAGAGAGAGAACATGAAAGCCAAATGATTTCTTTCACAAATGCATTGCCAACTTCAAAACTACACACGTACGAAACATACATACGAAAAGTAAAATATCCACATCTATTATTTTATTTCTACAAATCAAGAAAACTTAAACAGCCAACAATAACAACTCAAAGAGGTCACAAACATTTTTTAATCATGAATTAATGTTTAAATTTCAAAGGACACCAGAAGTTGTTTCAGGATTGTTTCCTGAAATAAACAAAAACAAAGCGGCATCATTGAGTCTTTCGCTTTCAGCTTCCTGTCAAAGCCTCAGTGTAGAAAGAAAACCTAAAAGCCACTTTTCTTCCTAATATGGTCCCCACTAAAAAAACTACAAATACCACCATACTGCCAACTTCCCAACGTTAGAAAAGTAAAATATCTACTGACCGCCACAACTTTAATTTAATTTCTACAAATCAGGAAAACTTAAACAACTTAAATGGAAGTGAGAATTGCAGGATGACGAGAAATTAAGTGGTCATGAACATTTTTTAATCCTCAATAAATGTTTAAATTAAATGTCAAAAGGAGACCTAAGTGGTTTCAGGGTGTTTCCATAATGACATCAGCTTTCTTTGACCAAAATACTAACTTCTGTCAAAGCCTTGTTTATAGTGTGAAATACAGAGAAAGAAAACCAGAATGCCAAGTGACTACAAAACTTTAAAACTATGGATAGCAGAGAGAAGAAAGAACTTCCCGACGTTAGAAAAGTAAAATATCCACCGACTGTCTCAACTTTAATTTCTATAAATCAACTGAATTTCAAACTTACATACAATAACAAATTAAAAAGGTCACAAACATTTTTTAACCCTTAATAAATATTTAAATTCAATTTCAAAGGAGACTAGAAGTTGTTTAAGGTTTGTTTCCTCGGTAATGTCAGTTTCATTACCAAAAGTAGCATCATTGACTCTTTCAGTTTAAGCCGTCCATTAAAGCCTCAACTTAGAAAGAAAACTTGAAGACCGTATTCCAACTTCAAAACTACAGGCATCATGATCCTACCAGATTCCCAATGTTAGGAACATTAGTTTTGTTTGAATGTCAGAACTTCAGCCGAATGACTTACAGAGAAAAGTATTTGCCAAAGTGTTATTCAAACCATCCATGTATGTTTGAATTAATTTTATTACAATCAGATAAGCCAAAAGTTATTTATAAACTAGGTGCTTCCTTTATTTAAGTAACATTTATTGTACTTTAGTCACGCCGTGTGCCATCGTCACATCTGCAATTGAATTTCTGTAAATCAAGAAAACTTAAACTAAGGTGAAAATAAATATCACACATATTTTTTAATAAATGTTTAAATTCAATATCAAATGGAGACCACACCACTAGAGGGAGCAACGAGCTGCGATTTCGAACTGGCACATTTAAAATAATACTGTCAGAATTTCGACAGTTTCGCCAGCGGAAGTGAACGTAAAATATATTAATATTATTATAGTATTCATTATAAATTTTCCAATGTTTTATATATTTGATGAATGGATCTAATGAAGCTAGAGTTTAATATAACATTTATATCGTTACTTTTTTTTCCCGATGTGTGCGTAAAATAATGCTTTTTTCTCAGACTTTTTAGATACGTTTTAACACTCTGTGAGTTAGCTACACTAAAACTGACAGCAGTGCTGACGTGTTGAGACTGACAGAGGTGAAGCAGAGTTTGAAGCACTCTTACTGTAAGTCATGATTTTTAAAGCGTGGCAACACCACAACAGCAAAAACTAAGCATTAACTTGTTCAAAATGGAAGTTTTGTGTATTGTAAATTTATTGTAAGGAAAATAAATAAATAAAAACAATCCTAAAATTATACCAGAATTAGAGAAAGAGTTTGAACTGCAGTAAAATGTTTCTTAGTAAACTCAGAACAAAGCTAACGTCTCCACAAACAAGACAAGCAGCAGATCTCCTGTGTGGAGCTCTGTGAGCTGCACCTTGTATTTATAGGTTGCCAGCTGAAAGGGAAAAGAATGGGTGTGCAGGCAGGAAGAGGTCCAAGTTACTTTGTACTCTCAGCAGAGCCGAACTTTGGATGAACTCCGAGAAGCGCCAGGGAGTAAAACACTATGCATAACTGTGTCACTCCCCCTCCAAAAAACCTACCAAGACAACAAAAAAGAGGAGCGAGCCAGCAGGCTTCAAAAGGCCCCCTGCTCTCTCCTGAGGCAGTGGCCGATTCAAGATAAACTGCCGGGCTTTGGGGGGAAGGCAGCGAGGTGAACTTCAATGAAAAACCTCAATGAAAACATCCATGAAAGCACCAGGCGACGATGGCATCACGCACGAGAGACAATCTAAACAGCGCCAGTCGACGACGCCACAGAGGTCAAGTATGAGCAAGTGCAACTTTGGAGACAATGAAAACAATATCTTCTTCATCCTCCATCCATTCCATTTGATTTCATGCACTAATGAGTGTGACACACACAGGAAGCGCTGCCTCTCGTAGTAAACCCGCATGCTGTGGCAACTCAATATCTCACCAGTGTAAGTTTTGAGGAGTCCTATAGCACATCAGTGTAAAGACAGGAAAATAAAAGATGCACTATCAGTCTGAAGTGCACCGAATTCTATCTGTGCCAATTTCAAAAATGTCACGAGGAGAATGATTTGGAAACATGACTTACGCCTCCTACGTTACGTTATTTCTCTCCTAGCAATTATTCAGCTGACATGCTCTCTCACAACTGCTTTAATAGAGAGACACAATACAGAATAGAAAGAGACGTATTCACCAGACTTGACAGTTAACTCACAAGGGGAGACATCAACGTGCTTGTGACAATTTTGCTCAATACTCTCTATTATTCCACAATAGCATCAAAAAAACCCTCATTCATATTTTGACACGATAATTGATAAGGACTGCTCGAGGTAATTGTCCACAGTTCCTATTGTGAAATACTTAGAACGTGCAGACTTTACAGCTACAGGAGGAAACACATGTCTTACATGTCAGTGAAATTTATATGGTGAATTGTGTTGTGACTGAATATCCACCATCAGGCTCTCCTGTGTGAATCGGTGCCTGAATAGCAAATTACCCTTTGATGATAAAATAGCCCACACAGAGCTGGTGCCTGCTCCATTAGGGAGAAATACTGTGTGTACAGTATGTATTCATTTAACCTGGTTAAGGAGGCTTACAGTGTTTCTCGTAGACAACAACAGTGCCGTGTCTCCTATTAGAATTAATGTGAACGTACCTGTTTTTTCTTTGATTTCACACAAGACATTGAAAAGCGCTGGCTTCATTCTGTGACAGTTCAGAGCGTGTTTCCTGCAACAGAAAAGTGGCTTCATAATCAAACCACATAAACATATATTCAACCTCCAGATTCCCAAAATAACAAGGCTGTTTACTGTCATTTCTATTTTTATCTTTTACATAAATGCTACAGCACAATAAATGATTTCCAAACAAATAATAACACATGTGCTCCAGCTGTGTCCATAACTGCTGGAACATTTTGTTTAGCTTCATCTGTTGTCTTGTTGTATAAAATTATTAAATGTGTGCATGAATTGAATTTTCTGAGCAACTTTTTGAATAAAATAAAACATGTGAGATGCTTCACTTTTGTCAGCTTTGGTGATTTTAAAGTGGATTATGTATCAGGAATAATAAAGTTGCATTTTGCTGTTCACACTTTTCCCTCAGAAATGACATATTTGGGAAATCAAATGTCAGCTTTATATATTTATTAATTTATTCTCCAGTCTCGTGAATGCATCTTGACTGTGCTGAGGTGTAAAGTGCTTTAAAAATACTCTCCGTGGGCGACACGTTGGCATGTCACAGTCATAAACACCACATTCATACACTTTTATTTTCTCTCTCTGGAGCGAGTTATTTCAATGTGGAGCAAACTAGTGATCTGCAGGCATGCCATGGGTGTTTCTGTTTGTGCACAAGGCTGTGCAAAACATTTACGCCTCACTGTGTTACAAATTTATATTTTTTAATGTCTATATTTTTATTTTTATTTTTATTTCCCCCCTTTCTTTTCAAAAACCTAGTTTGCCGCCGCCTCCTCCTCCTCCTGACAGCGGAAGGAGAAGAAGATCGGAGCATATCTTTACCTGGCTTGGGCTTCGTCCAGACTTTGATCCGTGATGGTCATAATTTGCTGTAAAATGTCTCCAATGTCCTGTTTTCTTCCGTCGCCGTCCGTTCCTCCGGTGCCTTCCTGCATATGCTGCGGCAGGCCGGGGTGCCCTGCCATGCCTACCCCCGTGTGAGAGTGCATCAACCTCGTCTGCTCGTCCATCTCTTCTTCTTCTCTCTATCTAATTCTCTGTGGCGCTCTCGCTGCTGAAATCCTGCAAAAATACATAAAAGAAAAAAAAAGGAGGAGGGGAAAAAAATCCCGGTGGTGTTTTTTAATATTTGCGCCGCGCACCCGGTTGCTCCTCGCAGGGGCTGTGTGGGGGTTTTTTCTGGCGGGGGTATCGGAGGGGAAAGCGGAGATACGAGCCCTCCTGCTCTCTGGCTGTGTCTCTCTCAGCTGGTCGGAGCTGAATGTGAAATCTGATCTGAACTGCTGTTGCCTTCACTGGAGCAGGGTGTGCGTAAAAAGAGATAGGCTGCTGATTTCTACTACTAACATGAACTAGGACACGTTTTCTTGTTATGTGGCGCAGTGATCCAAACACCCCCCTCTCTCTCTCCCTGCCAAATTACTACCCCCCTAAAAAAGTGGCTGTGAGAAATAAGAAGTGTGGATTTATTTCACTCACTCCATCCCCCTTTGCTTTTGTCATATACAGTGCAGGCTGGGCAGGCAGCAGCATAGCAAAGAGCATGAGAGTCAGACTCCGCCTACGCGACATGATTGGGAATATAAGACCATTTAGCCCCACCTTGAGGTGCCTCTCATGAAACGTCGATCATTGGGCTGTAAAGGTGGGATGCAGAGGAGAAGCTGGGAGATGTGGCTGCTGCCTTCCAAAGCAGGGGAGACAGTGCAGAGTGGCAACAGGGTGATGAATAGAGCCTGAACTCCAAATAAATAACAGAGGCTGACACAGAAGGTCTGCTTTAGTCTCCCCTTCTGACCTCAGCAAGAGCACCCACGGGCTCCACAGGAGAACATTTCATTTCCACACTGTGCCAAGATATAAGATACACTAATCAAAACTGCCGGCCAGCCCTTTCATCTGTTATAATTATTAGAAAGATAATGTGATTGAAGATTTACGGCTGGAAAAATCCATCCACTGATGAGACACCTTATGTAAAGCACCTCTGCGATATTAATATTTCATTTCACGATGTTGCAAACAGAATCCAACATGCTTGTTTTCTTGCAGGAGGCAGTGGAACATCGACTTTGTTCATTCATTTTCAGGTATGTTGCAGGGCTCCGCTTGGCTGACTTTGGCAGGGTCCTCCTAATGTAAGGCGGTGACCCATGTTGCGCAGCCAAGCAGCAAGGCGAGTGTGTCTGGCCAGGCTGAAAAGTGCCCTTCAGGCCGAGTGCTGCCTCACTGCCACTGCTCCCCTCCGCCACTGAGAGCCATTCAGAGGGAAGAGAGGAGGAGGAGGTGGAGGAGGGGCAAAATAAAAAGAAGCTCCAATGTGGAACCAAAGTATGAACAGTGCTGTGCAAATCACCGGCCTGGATGTATACATGTGTGACACACATACAGTATTAAGGATTGTATGTGGATGCTTGAGAGAGCCAGTGTTTTATTGGGAGCATTTTGAATATATTGATGACTGCTACCTGCATTTTGCCGGCAGTTTCCACAAGTGCACCTAAATAGTGGATGTCAGTGGACACACAGCTGTTACCATGACGTAATGTTAGATAAATTACAGTTATCATACATCTGAAATATAAGATGGCTACAAAATAAAAACGTAACCATCGTCAAACGTCGTGCTCCAGTCTTTGCTACAATGGTTCAGGTCTATTAACTTGTGTTTCTTCACTTTCAGGCTCCAACTCAGGCTCAGAATGATAAGGGAGAACTGACGCTTAAGTTATGGCGGTGTTTTTAGCAGCTCATGTAGCCTCAGGAGGTGAAAACCAGTTAAGGTAAGGGGCGCGATGACTCCGACACAAAGCCACTAGACCCCAATATTACAAATATGACCCCAAAAGTGAGCATAATAGGGCCTCTTTAAAATTTCTCCTTATAAACAATGCCCATCTGAGCTGATGCATTGGTCAGAAATTAAAACTGGGGTAGGAACACATCTGGACAAGAAACAAAAACAGCTAAATTTATAAATAGACCCTCCTCCTGCAGCCCTCCCCTTTCTTTTCTAAGCTCCTCCCACCAGACAACCACATGCTTCATACAGTAACCCTGTGTTTCCCATACATTCATTTATTTAATTGTATTCCATTGCAGAGCTCTCTCTCTCTAGCTAAGAATTAGCTAGCTACCACATCCTGCTGTCCCTCTGCCTCACTCCCCGCCACAAGGGTTTGCGTCACCAGGAGGCGAGCAGGCAGCAGCTCAGGAGACAGACTTTCGGTCAGCAGATGTGGCGGTGCAAATTCAGCCAGCTCAAGTGTGTCACAGCAGACTGGTGGCCAGCAGCAGCACCAAGTCTAACCTGTGTAACGGCAGCAACAGAAAGTTTGCAGATCTGGCAGGGAGTCAGGGCTGTGTGCTGGGGTTTGTGCTGGCTGGATTTAGGTTACTATGGCCGCTGACCTTGGTTCTGTCTGCGAGGTGGCCTGTAGTGGCGGGGAGTGAGGTGGAGGACATGCTGTGATCGAGGCTCTAGCTAACATTAGCGACATGAATGTGAACTTGAAGCTGCAGCTGTGAGGCTTTGGTTAGCAAAAGGCTAATCTACATTGCTGAACATTTTCTCTCCATATCTGAAACACTTCACTGATACTGACATGTTTCGTTCTGTTTATTGCCAGACTCTCTTTTTGACAAGTTTATCTTTGCAGTGTAGACAGCTGTTGCCTCTGCTAGAATAGCAACTTTCTCTTCAGGATTCTTCACCATTAAATCAGGCTTTCTCCAAAGGAACGTGCACACGCATCTGCATTTGTACAACAGCCAATAAGAATGCCCTCTCTCTGAAATGATCCTTGATTGGCCGAAGTCTTTCGTCCCTGACTAGATTTTCTAAAGCCTGAAAACAGAACCAACTGGAGGTGCAGAAGTCTAGTGTTCTCTTACAAAATGTTAGAAGTTTATTATGGGGTTTTTTGCTCAATGATGCCAAAATGAAATCGCCTACCCCAGCTTTAAGGAAATAACAAACACATTTAATGTTAAAATGATTTAAAGCCGCTAAAACATTCACATTTTTTCATCATATTAAAAACCTACATCATTTATTAGTAGTCTTCTTCCTCGCTGCATTTGTTGTTGCACTGCTGCACATCTTGGCAATTTACAGCCACCTGTAGATCAGCTAAAGAACATAAAACCTTTGGCAGCCTTTTTAGGGGACACAAAGCAGAGGATCCTATAGAAGTCAGTGCTATTTGACGTGTTTGGATTATAATTTTGACACATTTGTATGCATTTATTTTTTATAGACTAACATTTGTTTTATCGACATGTTTAACAATTGTCTTGCGACCTTGCCTGAACCTCAGAGCTCACGTTCCTTTAATAATTTAAGTTTGATAGCCGTCATGTCCCTTCGGTTTCCCCCTGTCCAAGTGGAATCGATGACCCGACAAAGTGGCCGGATATTGATACAAACATCTATGTCTATATATACTTGATTAAATCCATCAGTAGTCTATAAAAAACAACCTGTTAATGGCCAACTGTTTGATCTCGGCTGAGATGCACATGGAGACGACAGTCTGATGCCTCTACACTGTATGACTGGACTGCAACTGCCTCCCACTCAGGCTAACGTTAGCTATCCATTAGCAGTAACTGTAACCAGCATCGTTTAGTGATTTATCACACAGACAGTGATTATTCACATAGTCATGTATGTTCACATATGTCTGACAGCGCATTTCTTTCCCCCAAAAAAGTAAAAAAGTACCTTTAAACGGAGGCAGCACTGTAGACAAAAGTAGTGTGCGGCTATTATAATCATCCCAATCTATTTTCACTATACATTATTATATATTACCAAGCGTTCTGTTCCGCCATTATTTATCTTATTCTCCTATGGTTGTATCTCGCTTGAACTATGCTGTACTGCCCCTACGATATTCGATGACACTGCTCTGTTTCATCCATATCTGTAATCTTTCAGAAAATGTGCACAGATATGGATGAAATGAATGTAGAGGGCTTCGCCCGTCTCCATATGTAACGTTAAGCATAAATGAGCCCTTTACGCCCCATGAATGACATTACACACTTAACGTAAGGTTATGAATGTAAAGTAAGGTAGTTGGGTTTGGGAAAAGAAACATGGTTAGGTCTCTTAAGATTTAGGCGATTTAGGCATAAGGTTACATAGGTTGGGTTTTGGGTCTCCTTATGCAGACGACTTCCTTCTTTATTCCCATAAGCACCTTGGTCACGTGATCGTAGCCTTCCCAAATATGTGGGTTATCCATGAATTACTGGCTCATGATTACGTGGGATATGTATGAAAATTGGTGCGTTACATTTCGTACATTCACTTACAAACAGTGCATGACAACAGCCTGAACTTTGTATGTTGCTAAGTCCATACATGACATCATCTAGTTTCACTATGAGAGAAGGAGGAGTACAGATGCAGAAAGGTCTCAATCAAAATAACCAAAACTGTGCCGGATTCTATGGCTCATAGTAAAAAGATGGTTGGGAAAATAAGTTTTAAGGGTCTTTAAATGAGTTTCCTAATTTTAGGCTGAAATGCTCACATATGCCAGCACATCTAAATGTATAATAATCCTGAAAGTTGAGCTCCTGATAAGTGACAGGCTGTATATGCAAACACTCCAGAATACAATAAAAGAAATTTTTTATCATCTTATTAAGGCTCCTTCAAAGTAAAACATTTCCTGATTGATATTAAACTATTTAAAAATCATCAAGCTGCAGATTTTTTATTCCTCGAGATTCAAAATTTACAACTGGGATGCACCCATTGGAATTCCTCTGTACAACTATTAGCATATTTGAGTTTGAGGTGTAGTGGCAGTGACATCTCAGACTGTCTTCCTAAGCCTCAGGTGGAGCTGCAGTGCAATCCTGGAGCTAGGTACTCTCCCTGTAGGAGCTCCCGTGAAGCACTGGCTATGTAAATTGGGAGCAGAATATGTATGATGGATAATGGTAAGTGTGGTAAGTTTCCCTGCCATCTGCTCAGTAGTAGAATAATGAGAATACCTGAGGGGGTCTCTGTTACACCAACATCCATATGACTCCCCAACATCTGCTAAGTTACGTTAGCAGGGCATTTAGAAATCTAAATATATGCTGATACTTTCAGGGTACATGGCAAGGCAAACAAATCACAGCGCTGGCAGTGATCTTCATCCATTCATTGCCAGGCTGATGTATGATCAGCCACTCACTAGTGATAAAACAGGAAATGCTTATAGAGGTCCTGTAAAATGCTTAATTTGCTGCAGCGGAGACGTAAGCGATATATTACGGAGCGTGGTGCTGAATACATGAATTTCCCATGTCGGAGGAGCTTCCACATTAGTGAGCTTCTGTGATACAGTCAGAGTTATTAAAAGTAACAAAGGCAGACTTGAACAGCAGTGGCAAATATAACGCCCAGGTGTAGGACAGAACAGCAGCTTCAGCCCTCACACCTCTGTACTGTAGATCCTCCAGGACACCCTTATTGTATAGCAGA